TGTCCAAGCGCTGCTTTCTGCGGTCATATGGCGCACTTCATGCACATAGGTTTTGCGCATTAATGCGTGGCTCTTGCTGAATATATATATACCCTGTAAGTGCTTGAGAAGGGGTATGAAAAGCAATAACAGTAGAGTGTAAAGCTAAAGTAATTGACAAATATGTTATATTACACATATCTGATATATCAAAATCATTTTAATTGTTATTTATGGGGTATGAAAATAAATAAAGATCGGTTGTCGAAAGTCTTTTCTCATTGAAAAGATTTATATAGCAAAGAAATACCTGATAAGCCTTATCTATGGGAACAGTGTATCAATATTTATTGGAAATGAAAAATTATAGCTATATATACTATAGTATTTTCGCATGATTCTTTTTAATTAATTTTTTATTCCTAGAATCTTATGCATACATACTATTATTAAATAATCTATGGGACTTTGACAGACAATCAAATTACAGGGTAGCAGCGCGTCGTTGCACGTCTGTTGTGATCATTCTTAATTGTTGCTGTTGTTTGGTGTAAATTGTTTAAAAACGCGCTCTCACTTGGTCATTTGTTGTTGTAGTTGATGTCGATGTCGATGTTGATGTTAATGTGAATGTTGTTGTTGTTGTTGCTGCTGTTGCTGTTATTGTTGCTGGTAATGTTAATCATACGCTGAATTGCACTTTATGCGTGTGTTAGATAAGAAGGTGTTGTGTGGTTGTTGCCGTCCGTTGTCAACTGTCAGCCTGACAAGCGCTGTGCCCTGCTTATGCAATAGGATGTTCGTCCCCGTTTTTGCTGAACACTGTTGTCGAAAAACTCCTCAATTGAATTCCACTTGAGTAGCTTTTGTAGCGGCAGCTACCCACCCACACCTTGGTACTGCAGACGCGCTGACACAGATATCAAAAATACTGTGAGGCAGTATGACAAAATCATTGCAAGATCGGGTCAGAGACAGACTCCTCAATCTGCGCGGAGCAGGTTCTCTGGCTGGCGAAATCGTGTTAGTGGCTTTTTGATAAAGCATAACGACGCCGGCAGCGGCGCTGGCATTGCATAAGCGGCACGTAAAGTGGCCGAAATTTGCGAAACGCAGCCCCAGTTGCAATTTCATGCATGCCGACTTTATGGCCTGGGCACAAACAACTGACAACAACAACAACAACAAAGCCAACAACAACCATCAACAACCGTAAACAACAACAACAAGCATAACCAAATGATCAACAGCTCGACGACTCGATATTTCCAATTGGCGCATCTGGTGGGAAAGTTATCAAATCGAATATGATAAAAAGAAAAAATGGCAAAAGAAATGAAATGTATATGCGCAATTGTATTTGTAGTTATTGTAAAAACAACTATTGGGCAAAAAGTGTGAAGGGCAAATATTGGTAACGAGGGTTCGCGTACGATTTAGGTTTTTGCAAACATTTGGAAATTACGCGTGCGCTTTAAGTTATGCACGACATTTGACGCAATTTTGCCAGCCACAAAGCCAGAAAAAAAGAATGGAATATAGAGAGAATGGAGTTAAACTGGAATAGAGGAGTACACACATTGTTAAGCAGAGCAAATTAGTTCAAGTTCAATTGATAAAATGAACCAATTGACGGTACACAAACACACACAGAAAAGGGTAGCAAAAGATAATTAAATACATATTGTTGCCCCATAAATCAGCTCATAAAACAACAACAACTAAAACACAACGGAATAAAAACGCTGATATCAGCTGAAGCTTTAACTATTTGCAAGCTGTCAAGCTTTTGGCTTGCGCACAGTTTGAGCAGCGCTGGCTGCACAGCTTTTGCCAAACTATACCCAACTATACCCACACACTCGCGCACGCCCACTTTACGCCATGCCCACAAGCATCAGCCGATGTTGGCGCAGCTAAAAGATAAGTCGCCAGCGCGTGTTATTTAATTAGAATAAATAAAACTCAACAAGAAAATGGACTTCCAGTCAGAGCTTTTGCTCTCTGGAAGTCTTACTGGCTCTTACTCTCACCGAGAGCGCTCGTTTCGATCTAGCAGAGTTGCCGGCGCGCCCAAAGCGACCACAAATCCGGTTTCCCTACGCACTCGACTGCCAGTTGGCAAGCCTGGCGCTGTCGCGTGAGCACGCGCTGGAAAGAAGCCGCACTACGTGACAGTTAACGTCGTCCGTTGTGCAGGCTGTGCGTTCAGTGTGCTTTTGGCAGTGGTCTGATCGCGTAGAACCTTCAGCAGTTGATCATTCTCGTTCGTTTCTGTTCGCTACAGGTGGGTGTGTTCTTTAATGGGGGATGGGGAGGGTGTGCACAAAACGCTTACATAACACAATCTTTATATTTAATTTAACAGCCTGCAGCCAGTTATCATGTCGCTACGCATTGTGTCGCAGTCCCTGTTCAACGCCTGGAGCCAGACCCTGGTGCGTGGCATGTCCACGCAGGGTGGCTCCAAGAACATCGGCTTCGTCGGCCTGGGCAACATGGGCGGCCACATGGCCAGCAACCTGATCAAGGCCGGCCACAAGCTGCATGTCTTTGACATCTCGCAGCCCGCCTGCGACAGCCTGAAGGCCAAGGGCGCCACGGTGTACTCCAAGACTGCGGAGCTGGCCAAGAACTCGGACTTCGTGATCACCATGCTGCCCAACAACGACATTGTGGACGCCTCGTACGAGGAGATGACCGCCAATGGCGTCAACAAGAACACCATCTTCATTGACTCCTCGACCATTGATCCCAATCTGGTCAAGTCGCTGCAGAAGCGGATCAGCGCCAAGGGCGCACGCTTCATTGATGCACCTGTCTCTGGCGGCGTGCCCGGCGCCGAGCAGGCCACGTTGACCTTCATGGTGGGCGGCACCGAGGCGGAGTACAATGCGGTTAAGGCTGTGCTCGAGTGCATGGGCAAGCGCATCACCCACTGCGGCGACTATGGCATGGGACAGGCCGCCAAGTTGGCCAACAACATGATGCTGGCCATCTCCATGATTGGCGTCTCTGAGGCCATGAATCTGGCCATCCGCCTGGGCCTGAATCCCAAGACTTTCGCTGAGATTATCAACTCCTCCACCGGCCGCTGCTGGGCCTCCGAGGTGTACAATCCCGTACCCGGCGTCTCGCCCACCGCACCTGCCAACAACTCCTACAAGGGCGGCTTCTCCACCGATCTGATTACCAAGGATTTGGGTCTCGCCTCGGGCGTGGCCACCGCCTCCAACACGCCCATTCCCATGGGCGCCCTGGCCCACCAGATCTACCGCACACTCAAGTCCCAGGGACTGGGCAACAAGGACTTCTCCGTGGTCTACGACTTCATGAAGAACGAGAAATACTAAGCAGCTGCCCGAGGATAGCTCTTGACGGGCTTCCACCCACCAGTTTTGCATTTATAGCGCACTAAGTTAAGCAGTCCAATTGGGATTCAATGTGCTGGCGCCTTTTAAGGCTTCCCGAGTTCCAATTTTGATATATATGTATTTGTGCTAAATATATATTAAAGTTGTATTTATACAATATATATTCATAAGTAGTATCTGTGTTTATCTTATTGTGTGGAAAAGTTTTCGATTGCATAACGATTGGCGAATTCAAGTGGACCTGTCATCTGATAAGCATATTAAATACAGCTGTTTGGATTCTAGTTGGGTTCTGGCTAGATTCTAGTTGGGCACGAATTTATGATCGACATTTAATTTCCAGCACGAGCTGTGAGCTTTTGCACTTCCAATGGACGGCATGCGGAATTCCTTTGTAAAAATGAAAGTAATTAATTGAAAGCTTTTTGCAAGTAAACAGAAATTCGAGCAAAACAAACGGCAATAAACACATAAAAAGCGCAGAGAACGCGATGTAAATGAAAGCACACAGTTTGAGAGTGACCAACTTACAGTTTGACAGCCTTGCAAAAGTAGCTTTACACAAGTAGTAGTTGTTGTAGTTTTTGTTGTTTTGAGCGAAATCCAAAAATATTTTGTTTTGTATTTGGTTGTCGTATTTGGAAAAATAATTAACAAACTTAGCTTAGGTGCTATTTAATTAATATTAATTAATTAGGACTTGTATGTATATAAAAACTTTGTTGCTGGAGTATAAAATAGTTTCGACTATCTAATTAATTGTTTCTCATGCATTTGTCGGAGTTGTTTGGATTGCAATTCATATGGCAACCTATACATATGTATATGTACTAGGTAATTGTTGATCAATTAAATTACAATAATTAGTTAAATAGATCTATCATATATGGTTAAGTACAGTTAGGTATGCATATAAAAAGCCTTAAATTAAATTGAGGGCAATCAATTAGAGTATAAATACATAAATACATTCATATCGTAGGGTAACTTCAGAAGTAAAGGTATTCGAATATCTTTATATATATATAGGTAGGTATTCTCATATATTTTGGATAAGCCACATAGTACTTCTAGCTTGAATTCTTTGAAAAATATCACAAATTGAAATATACAATAAATAATTAATTCATATTCATACGATTGCAAAGGAATTGCACGGTTAGCGTTATGGTAAATTTCTTGGTAAATATAAATAGATGTTCAAAAATAATTTTAGGTACTGGTTCTATATAGTATATAAGTAAAATGTAAGTACATGCGTTTTATAAAGTACAATATTCTGTTGGTGTATTTACATAACTGAACCACAAAGTTTTGCTCAGTGTATATCCATCAAGTGTAAATAGTTTGATTCGATTTTTAGCTGAGATAAAAATATGAATGTAGCCTAAAATATTCGAATACTCGTTCACAATGCGATAACGAGCATATTGGCTTTAAGCAATGTCCCTCTAGCTGACCGTCTGTCTGACTGGAAAGTTGGTTAATACTCGAGAATTTATATATATATATATAATCGACAGCTTAAGAGCTAGAGTATGGAGACTACTGAGGAGTTGCTCTAGATATTAATTTGGTTTCTTGAATTGGGTTTCTTTCAATAAGTTTGACGGAGATATTCGACTGTGAACGAGCATTGGGCAGTCGGTTACACCCGACAGCAAGATTTCTATTTGGTTTTTTCTTTCGAAGCTCTTAATTTAAGCAAAAACTTTGGTGCATTTAGTTAAAGTTGCGTCTGGGATGTTGCTTAGGTGCCGTTAATTTGTATACTAAGTGGACTAATCGCCTTGGCTTAGACTTAGGCTCTTGGCCTGGCCAAACTTGTGCTTCAGCTGGCTGGTATTGGCGCGGAAGCGTGTGGTCATCTGCTGCATCAGATGCTGTGGACCAGTTGCGCTGTGGTGCAGCGGTGCCACCAGCACCGCATCAGCGCTGGTTATGGACTATGAGCCCTTCAGTTTCTTCTTGGGATTGCTGCGTGCCTGGTCGATGGTCGCCGACGGCGGCAGCTCCCTGTACTGGTTCTGCAAGGCAAATCCGATTAGACCGATTAAATATACTGACTGGCATCACTCACAATCTCCTCGTTGTCGGGCACGCGCGATAGGAAGTCCAGCAGCTCGTTGTTCGGTATGGTGTTGGGGCGCAATAGGCGCCGCGAGAACTTCATGAAGCCCCAGAAGAGCAGCAGCCAGCGCAGCGGCACGAAATGCAGCACGAATATGGCGCTCAGCAGCAGCACCACCGCCAGCCAGGTTAGTTCAGGGACGGAAAAGTTAAATGTGCTGCAAGGCAAAAGCGAAAGCATGAGCTGAGCACCACTTGGTCGAGTCTATGGCTAACACCCACTTGATGGTGCTCTCGCCGAGGGAGGCCAGATAGCCGATCGTGTTTTGTACGGTCTGGGAGACCTCCTGTATGGCCTGGAGTCGCTCCTTAATTGACTTTTTCTCCTCCTTCTCCTTGTCATCATCGTCATCCTCATCGTACTCGTAATCATAGTGGCCCGCATTGGCGTCTGTGGTGCCTGTGATGAGCCTGATGAGCCACTTTCTGCAATTAACAGGGGTTAACTCGAGTTCAACCTGGATTTATTACGGATTTAGGGCATACTTCAGTATGATGAGCAGCAGCACCAGCGGCACCGTCTCCAGATCGCCATAGAAGCAGGCAACAATCCACAGCACGAAGGCAATCATCGAGCGCACGGGCGATTCCCACTCGAAGCAGCTCCTGCAGGAGAAGAGTAGAAGACGAGGAGAGACAATGATCAACTGCCAAGCCCCACCCAGGGCGGACTACTCACTGAACATAACGTGCCGCCTCCAGGATATCCATTATAATCTGCTTGAGGCGATTGACATTGCGCAGGAAGAGCTGCCGCTTGAACTTGGCCTCCTGCTGGATGAGCTTCTCCTCCTTGGGCTGCAGGGCGCGACACACTGCCCGCACCTCGTTCCAGACCACAATCAGCTCCAGCTGTATCTGCGGCGAGTTGCCCTTGGCGCGCACGCACAGATTCTTATCCTTGAGCGTGTACCAGCGCTTGACGCCGCTCTTGATGCGCAGCAGGGGAATCACGAGCTTGCCCAGGAACTCCACGCGATGATCGCGATCCTCATCGTAGACTGTAACCTCCAGCACCTGGGTGATGTCCTTGATATTGCTGTGAAGGGAGAGGAGTTGAGCTAAGCTCTATTGTTGATAAATGGATGTCACCTACAAGGTGAAGATCTTGTTCCAGCTGGGCGTCAGCGTCTTGTACTCGGTCTGCGTCTGGAGGCGCGCATTGCCCAGCTCCAGCACGCAGAAGGGATCCGATTTGCCGCCTATATCGGCCGCAGCCAGGCCCGTGGCGCCAAATACCTTGACCGTGAGATGCCCGACATCCCGTAGATTCTGCAGACTGCGCAGAAAGCGATAGCGCTCGCGCAGCAGCTGGGTCTCGCGCGGATCCTCTTTGAATGCCTTCAGGTCGCTAATCGTCTCGAGAGCCGTCGTGCCGCTTATGGTGAGCATGAGAAAGACCTCGCCGCAGCAATCCTCCAATGGCTTCCAGATGCCATGTGTGGTCTCTCGCTGGAAGACGCTCAGATCAATGTTGGCCTTGCCGTACAGCGTATTGCGATTCCAGAGAGCCAGCTCCAGATTCTGATCCTCATCGAAAAGATGCAAATCGAACTGCTCCAGCCAGCGCTCCGTCCAGGAAGACTTGCTCTTGTACTTCTCGTTGCCCAATCTGTGGCCAGAATTCTAGATGGTTCACGCTCTTGACTAGCCTACTCTCAATTACTCACCTGAACTTGAAGTGTATGTCGATGAGCTTGTTGCCATCCTCGGCCAGCGGCAGATCTTTGGCCTTGACCAGAAGTATTGTCACCACAGAGCTCCAGATTTGAGACTTAAGACGTTTCGATGACTCAGCTAGTTTGGAATTGCGTTGAAAGTGCTGTAAGATGTAATGGAAAACTTTAATTGAAACCTGTTCACAACATCCAAAGTGCAGTTCGAGTTGACCTCCTTTAGCTCCTCGCAACCCAGCTCCAGCTGCTCACGTAGCTCGCTGTGCTGCTGGCGCAGCCTCTTGAGCAACATGCGCGGCGCAATCCGGTAAATTGGACCAGGCCAATCCATAATCCGCACAACCAATGCACAACAACAAACACACACACTCACACCTCACAAATCAAAGTCCCACTTCGCAAACGAAGCGACGCACAATGACTAAAGCCAATTCGTTGGCGTCGCGCTCTCGGCTTTAGCGTGTGTCAATGAATTCTCTAACCTTGAGGTGGGCATATACACTTACACATGCAGTTTGCCAACCAACAACTACGTGCTCGTAAAACGTCGGCTCTGAGACAGAGCTGAGACCGAGGCGCTGATAAGCAGCGACTGCCTGCAATTGGTGTCAAGCGACCTCCAACTTTGTACACTGAACTTGGTTGTCGGCAACCGACTTCCCAATGCGTACTATCAGCATAAATATGCACATATATAACAATTAATTTCATGAGCAAACTTTAAAGAGGTTAACCCAATGGAACCCAAAAAGTAAGCATTAAATTCTTTCAAGTAAAAGATTAAGAAATTTGCATAGACGGGCAAAACATATGTGATAATTAGAGAAAAATAACTAGGGAGAGAGGTTAACAGAGAGAGTGAAACAACGGTTTATGTGGTAATTACAAAATAGAATGAAAATCGCATAGAAGGGTGATATATAGAAGAGGTAGGAAGCGCATGAGAGAAAGAGAGAGAGAGAGACTGGGATGTAGACAGCGAATGGGAGAGCGCGTTAGATGCAGAAAGCGAATGAGTAAGTGAATGAGTATAAATAGGAATCAAAGAGAATAAACAGAAATAGATAAAGAGAACGAGAGCGCATCGTCGAGAGCGAGAAGAAAGGCAGTTGATTATATTCCTTAAACATAAATTTGTGTAAAACTCACTGACAAAACCATAGATAAACAAACTCATTGTTTATTCAAAATATAAGAGTATACAAGTTTTGTTGTGCTGTAATTAACTCGGCCCATTTCAATGCTGTTTACTCTGGGTTATTCGGGGTATTTTCCCTATGTCATTGTTAGCTGTTGCTTTTTGTTGCCTAAGTTGAGCGCTTTGCGTATAATTGTAATGAGCAGCGATCAAAGCAGCGCCGCAGCAAGGGAAGCGGGGCTCACACGCCCGGCCTAACAATGCCCAAGCTGAACAGAGAATATTTAGTCGGGACTGAGGAAGTGGCACATTTGCCGGCTGAGTGTCGTTTGAGTCGCTTACTAATTGAGAGAGTTGCCAAGAGTCGAGAGTTTGAGTCTGAGCTGCCATAAATCTGCACGCAATCGAAACGAACTTCAGGCTGCCAAATGTTGTAACGCTTAAGAATGACAGAACAAAGGCAATGGGCGATTATGTGAAGTGATTGGGCAAAGGGAAAGGTCGCACAGTCGGAAGTAACAGTTGAACAGTTGACTGACTGATGAGCCCTTAACAGTAGCTAAATAGAGGCGTATCTTTTGGTAGCCAAGTATCTGTATCTGTGAGATACATTGCATGTGACGCTTAACTTCCGCTTTGCCACTGACTTGTAGCTCTTCCATTTATCGTCATTTAACAAATTGTTTATTGAATTTAATTCGACAGCCACCTACCATTTCCTTATCCTCCTGACTACGCGGCCAAAGCGTCAGATTGATGAGTATCTCGCCCATGCTGAGGCCCGGCTCCCCGTTGTTCGTATCGCTTAGCTGCAGATTGATATCTTCCGCCTTGCCCAGCTCCAGTTGAGTGAGATCGATTTTCGCCGAGCCCATAAAATCATCCTGCAGTCCCCAATCGTAGTCAAAGACCTGTAGGGAATCGCGTTGGCAAAAAGCGGAAATTGGTTTCGGTTATTGGTTTCGAGTGAATGTGAAGCAATTTGCCAAATTGAATGTCATGTTGGCAATTATTTTCGTAGCTGATTGTTGTTGTTTCTCTTGGGAAATTGATTTTCACTTTTTGTCAGCGAGGAGCGCTTTCTAAATTGCCCTTTCTTCTGCCACATAGTTTGCTTTAACTTAATTAAAACTGTAGACCTTATGAAATCTCAATTGCATTAGATTCAAATTAGCTGAAATGAATACTGCAATGTTAGCATCAAGAGGCACAATCTTTTGTCTAAATATTTGCCAAAACATAATTCTCATTTTATTTTTTCAATAATAAATCTTGTTAACAACTGAAAAGTAATTGAATTCTTCAAGCAAGCTGGATTACATTCAAGCTATATAACTGTTCTTACTTAAGGCCTTAACTTAAATCTGACTGTCTTGCTTTCATTATTTAATAATCTTACTTAAGACAAAACTGAATATTAGATATACTTACGGCCGGTGCCGGATATTGTTATCACAAAGCTATCTTAGGAGCCATCGGGCCAAAATAGGTTCTTATATGAAAAACTTTTTCTTATCAAGATATCTCGACCAAACCTGGCATTTATTAGTTAAACTATGCTGTTACATATCCAAATCTTATCAAAATCGCACTTCAATATTTAATAGCACAGTAGGAAGAATCGGAATTCGAGTTAGTTTTTTTTGTATGGCAAAATACATTGTTTTCCAAGATATTTTACATTTCTCACACAACTGCAAAGTCGCAAGGCAAATGTCTACAAGTGTATTAAGTCTTCGGCGAACGAGGGGTATTCTGACTTTCTCATTTTTAAGAGCTTTTTAACACTAAAACGCAAAAGCAGTATTAAAAGCTTTAAGAACGATAGATTACACTACAGCTAGATTAAATTAACGGTTAGTCTCACTTACAGTTAAGCTGAATACTGAGAATTTGTTTTGAATAGCTCAATAATCTCACTTTAAACTTAAAGCCAAACTATTTACTCAATTTTAAATATTAATTTTCATATTTTAATTTGTTTTTTTAAGACGCGCAAACGACTGGAACAAAAATCTTTAAAGCTTAAAACTCAGCTAATTGGCAGTTGTTCGTCAAATTCTCTCGATATATATTCTTAAGGAAGTTTAAGTTATGCGAAGCCACAAACATAATCTCCCTCAAAGCTTAAAGCTTATCCAACAATATGCTTCTCTAAAGCTTCGCTGCTCTGCATGATTAATCTAGGCTCTAAATAAATTTTATCGCCTTTTATTAGAACATTTCATAAGCTACTCTCGTTCTGGCTTTGCTCACCTTGACAATAATCGGCTGAAAGGGGTCCTCCACGGGCACAATGAACACCTCGTCCCACACAGGATTGAGGTCGCGGTGAATGGTGCGCGACTTGTGCAGCAGTCGTCCGCCCACCTTGAATTTGACATAAGGATCACTCAGTCCTGGCGCAGAGGAAAACACAAAGAAACATAAGTGACAGGGCATGTCGGTGCGGGGGCGAGGGCGAGGGCGAGGGAGGGCATGGTCGTGGGCGTGTGTATTCGAGTCCTTAACGGGGCTTACCATTCTTGTCCATGGCCACCAGGTCGCAGCCGGATTTGAGATGGACGCGCAGCTGAAAGAAGACGAATTGTCGTAATTGTGTCTCCCGCTTGCGACGCAGCTCGTCGGCCTAAAGTTGGGCGTTAGTGATGGGCAGTGGCAGTGGCATTGCAATTGTTATCGTTTATCGATATTGTTATCGACAGTTGCCGTTGCGTGCGTCAAGTTTTTGCAGAAAGAAGCGTAAAACAAATTTCGAAAATTGTTTCGTTTTAAGTGTAGCAGAAAACGGAATCCAATTGAAACAGGCAAATCAAATATTTAAAACCAAAAAGACTAAAAGAAGCCTTGCACTGGGACTCACCTGCAGGGCATCCAGCTGCTGCTGCTGCGCCGTTGCACTACTGCAGCCGGCGGCCGGGGCGTGGCTGCTGCCATGCTCGGGCTGCTCATCGATGCGACCCTCCATGGAGCCGCCGAAGCGTTGGATGACCTGCGCCATTTTCGCAGTGGCACGAAAATCTCGCGCCAGCGGTGAGCCAATTGTGGTTGCCCGATGTCGGGGACTTTGCGTTACGGAGCTGCTCTCGGAGCTGTAGTCGGCGGCATAGTCGGTGCTCTCCTCCAGGAAATCGCTGGGCGATTTGCGGCCGATGCGGTCTTTGCTCTTGGCGCGACTCCAGCGATGCCGCAAATTGTTGAAGAAGCCGTGCGTCTTCTGCAGCACGCCCGCGCCACTGGACACGCCCACAACGCTGCTGCTGCCGCTCACGAGCTGCTGTGAGGCGGCGCTTTTGGCCCGCTTCGGCGACAGATGCGGCGACTCGTTGCTGTGACAATCGTGACCATTCAGCTCCGATGCGGATTTGCTCAGATGCTTGCCCAGGCGCTGCTGCAGCTGCGGCGACCCCTGCGGCGAGATACCAACTCCACTCGGCGGCGAGGCGCTGGCACCGCTGGCATCAACGCTGCCGGCGGCGGGCAAGCGGCTGCTGCAAGGACGCTGTTCCTCACGCTCCAAATAGGTTATGCGAGCTGGCGAGAGAGTGAAGGAGAGAGGGTAAAGGGGGGTTAAAGCTAATGCGTAGCAACTCGATAATCGATTTAACAAAAAATTTGACGCGTTGCGATCCACGAATCATATATGACTGAATACCACGCAGCTGACGCATGACATCATTTGGATGGAGAGAGAGAGAGAGAGAGAGAGAGAGAGAAAGAGAGGGTGCATGGGGCATGACTTCTCTTACGCTGCTGAGTGACCGCAGCTGGCTTATAATGGAATACCCTGTGACTAAGAGGAAAGCGGGAATATTGGCTAAGCTATAGTTAGTAGCCGGTATATGGCAAGCCCCAGTTGTTGAGTCAGACTCTTGCGTCCATAGTTAAAAAGTAATCAACATTTGACTTGGTTATGTTACCTATGTAGACCCTTTAAGATCTAAGGCAAATTGCTGAACACTTGTTTGCTTTAGATTCACGGCCTTAGAATTATATAGTCCCTGTTTAGCCGCCACAGTTGTAGACCTACAGTCTTAGAGTCACAGTTTAAGCGTCTCAGTTGCAGATTTAAATATGAGATCAAAGGGAAATCGATAAAATCGATTTTAGTTTTAAAGACGCATTGTTAATTTGTAGTTAGTCACTGTTTAAGAGACACAGCTGTAGAGTTTCAGAGAATTATTTATTTAGGAGTCACAGTTTAGGAGTCACAGCTTTAGTGTTACAGTTGTGATAAGTCACAGTTGTAAGGCTACAGTTTCAGCGTCACAGTTGTCGATTTGGAGAGTCACAGCTGTGGAGCCACACTATTAGATCCACAGTTTTAGAGTCTCACTTTTGATGTTACAGTTTTAAAGTTTGAACAGTTACATTTTGTAGATATATTTTTTTTATACATTAATTTATTTTAAGGCTCGCTCCGTCTCGTCAAATCATTTATTTTCTACAATTTAGGGTGCGCAGTTTGAGAAGTCGCAGTTTCAGAGCAACCAAATTAGTTATGCTGATCATTTTTGAAGATATATAATCGCAGCCACACCCACTGCCGCCTTTATAAAAGGACTAAGCTGAACTCACACTGGAAATAGAGTATACATAGGTCGGTAGCTTCCGGCCACACCTGCAACTGGGAACCCAATATGCGCGATATCGGGCTTTTTTTGGCCGAGAAATAGCCATTTATAGCCGTTTGTAGCGTTTTTTTAAATTAAAATTAAAATTGAAATATCTCGGGTACCATATGTCCGATTTCGAAATAATATACCTCTTTTTTCTCGTACGGATCCCGACTATCGATTGACAACAACAAATCTGAATTCTAAGAAATGGCCCAATTTGAGAAAAACTACTTTGATTTTTGCAAAAATGACGATGTTGGCTAAAAATGGGAGTGACCACAAGTCGAACGAGACCAATCTTTCCAAGATCGGGGCTTATATGGACATTTGAAAAACGTGAAATTTTGTTATAATTTTAAAGATTTTTGGTTTTTTTGCGAATATAATTCGGCTAAAAATGGTCCGATTTTGGAAAGATATATCTTTTTGAACTCGTACTCGTACTCTGTAATCGACTGGCATATCGCGTTTTTGGCCCAAAAACCCAAAAAAAAACAATAATGATTTTGATTTAAAAGAAAAATATTGCAAACTTTTTGGCATGATAGATATAAAATTCGGATTATATATTTCGTTTAACTAAAATGTGTTGCATACTTTCAGGCAGTCGCGGGATATTTATATTTCAGGTTTGCGTGGAAGCGATTTTTTTGCTCCTACCTGCAACTGGAACAATTTTGTTTGACTTGTGGCACAGCGCGAATGTTGCCTGCTTCTGCTCCTTCTTGTGCAACGTTGATTGCATGGCCATCAGGCGGCTGCATTAATAATTAACATATTCACTTTCCTATTGCAAAGGGGCGGCACACAACACGTCCACACCCTCGACACAATATTCATTAAATGCAGCACAAACAAATTGTAGTACAAAATTAAAGAACGTTAGATAAATTTTGCATAACTTGAAGAGGAAGAGGTAGTGAGTTCGGCGAGGCGCCGCGCGTTGCGGCACGAACTGCACAGCAGCAACGCTCCTAAAAGACTGCCACAGTGGATGATTTCAGTGAAGCTCGGCATTTGTTATTGCTAGCGCCATCTATAGGTCACATACACACACTAGCAAAATGTCAAGTGGCGCGCTCTGTGTATGTGTTTGTGTGTGTGTGTGTATTGTTTGGCACTGAATAGAAGCGCGAGACGCGACTGTAACTGTATGGGAGTGTGCAAGTATTGTGTGTGTGTGTGTGGGTTTGTGTGCGCTTGTAGTGTTTTTTGCGGCGATAGCTTTTGCATTATTAATGCCTTATGCTGTGCTGCCTCTGCCGCTGCTGCTGCTGCTGCATCGCGAATTGGAAAGGGCGCCCATAAAATGCAAATGGTTGCGCACACAAAGTAACTGCATAATTGCCTGTGTAAGTGTGTGTGCGTGCGTAGCGAGCTTTACGCACCCATAAAAGCTTAAGGCAAAACGTTGCTCCTCCCCCCCCCCCCCCCCTTCAAAAGCGAACATCATGCGACACAGACTGTCAGCCCGCGGCAATAAAGTTTGTGAATGAAATTATTTTTAAAATCAGACGCAGCATTTTAAATATAAATAAAGCACACATATGTATGTATATGTGTATGTGATTCAAAGAACACACAAAGGGCAGGGATAACAGCGAGATTTTACATAACCAAAATCAACCCAACAAGTACAATATTTAATTACATTCAAGCTTCGTGTCCTGACAACAACAGCACAACATTTAACTTTTTTCCTTGTTGCCCCCACAATTTAATTAATTTAATGCAAGGGGCGGGCAGACAAGGTGTGTGTGCGCGTGTGTGTGTGTGTGTGTGTGAGCCCTCGTAAGTACGTACTTATATTAATTATTATTTCTACTCTAGCTGCGACCGCGCTCTTTAAACGTTCCCTGGACGAGCGTCCTGGCATTAGGGAATTAGTTTCAGCTGGTGTTAAGCATTTATGCAGTATAAATATTCTATTAGACAATAATTGGACACATGCTACACAACTTTCTAGTTGGTGTGTGTGCAGAAGTTGGACATCTGTCCGAATATTTACGACGCTAGTGTAAATAGATTCCAGAATTTGCTGCTAAGACTAACGACTAACGACAAATTTGGGATTTTGCTCTTCCTTGCGACTGAAATTAAACTAATTTTGCATCCTCAATTGATCCCCATATCTCTAGATGAAAATGCATCAAGTTGGATCTTCGATCTATCCATCTTAAACTTCATTTATCCGTTTAGTTTCATAATATCTCGGGTAAACAAAAAACTATACATTTATTTTTTTTTTTAATTCCTAATTCTTCGAAACTCCACAATTACAAAATGTCCAAAATTTTCAGGATCGGAGTTAATTTGCCAAAGATATAAGATAATTATATTCTTATTTCTTTCATTTTGACTTGCTTTATTTTAGTTTATTTGTATCTTTTCAGGATGGATTATTCAAGATCAAGATCACATCATTATAAGAAAGGATTCCATTTGCCCAAGATATGGTTATTTAAAGTGAAATGAATAAAATGTTTGGAATAAATGGCGGAGCTTTGGCTGATTTTTTATTGTTGATTCATCATCCTTGTTTATTTTCCATCATAGATATATTGCTGGTGAACCTATTAAAGTTGCGCTATTTACTCAATGCATGCTATTTACAAAATGCGCACGAATATGGTTGAAAAACATGTACGGCTCTTTGTTTCAACAACCCTCCCTGTTGATGGTTTCTAGTTTACTTCTGCATCCTGGCAAGCTCACAGGTTCGAGTGGCACTGGAATAGTTGAGAAATATGTAAACTTTGTTCAGCCCCCCTTTTTTCAATAGCTGCTGCTTCAAGTCTCTTGCACAGTCGATCCTAGAGTCATGTAATGCAATTTTCCATCCTCTGATTTTGGTCCTGCCGCTTACTATTTCTATTCGCATGGTACTTCAGTCAAATATTCGTTCAAATCTCGACAGCCAACCGCCGCCAACGGTTGTCTCGTGCACTTTTGCAATAACATTTTACAGCAGTTGATTTCCTCTCTACCATTTCGCTATTTTTGTTTTCATGGTATCTTAGCCCAGTTTGCATAGAAATCTCAGGAGCCAGCGGCCTGCGCTGGGCAACGGAATTTAGCTGCATACCCCGCCCAATTATCCGAGGGACACGAGTCGCGAGGCACGTAAACTAAGACTATTAAGGTTTTGAATATTAATTGCCAACAAAGTGAAAGTTACAAAAAAGGAGGTTGTTTATTTATTTCTCTTACTTTTCATTTAATTTACTTTGTTTATTTATTGAATATTTATTTTGAAGCCTTAAATGGCTGCTTCAAGGACTTTTCGCATGTCCTTTAACCAAAGAAATTTCTTTTCTGAATATTCATTGGGAACATTTATTAATAGACGAATATTCGTTAAAATTCCGCGAAAAAGTACTTTGTGTGAGTATAGAAAATTGCTTATAGCTTGGCTATCGGAATGCCCTTTGGCCAACAGAAAGTCCTTATCTTCACCTTGACCTTTACCTGAACCTTCAAATAGCTGACAAAAATGTCTTTTTTGTATAGAAACTAATTTGCTTATCACGTGGCTTTATCCCTGCGTATCTTGTTCAGTCCTGTGTCAAACAACTCGCAAGGAGCAGGACTAATAATATTTGCTCTTTTACCACCCCCACAAGTATGCATCAGCACGTTCCTTTGGAGATCTGGCCCAAGATCCGTCAGGCTTTCTGATCGGAAAGCCTTCTCCTTCTCTACCTTCTCGCCAGTCTCCACAGGGAGTGACTTGAAGACTCATTTGGAGAAACATTTTCCAAAAAACGGTCGGTTTCGCTTTGTCTATGCCGCTCCAGCAGCTTTTGACCCGGTTCGACACTCTGCGGTAGATCCTGTCCACAATTGGATCTTCGGTACGACAGTACAGATTGGGTACGAATGTTTTTTGGAAATGGCGATATCTCGGTGTATTTTGTTTATTTTCGCAGATTTGACTAAATTTTTAAATAATTTTTAATGAAAAATCGATCAACATTGCATTTTACACAGTCAACAGATACGTATAAAATAAACTTAAAAAAAAATAAAGAATAAAGTCAAATAAAAATTATTTAGAAAGCGCCTGAGTTAATTTCAGTGCCGGGATTGACCAAGTTGCCGTAGGGTATATTATTACAATTCCAGTTAGTTTTAAGCCAATTAGGCTTATGGTTAATTTATATTTCCTGCTTAAGGGATTTTATCGGCCAATTTCCTGAAGTTGCTTTTAATTGCTCTAAAAATGCTTAAAATAAAAAAGCGATAAAAAACATTTCTTGTAAATAATTATCTTGATAATTTTAATTTATAAGAGGTATAAGAGGTTCTGGGGAATACTTTCATTCTTGATCTGTAGCTGTTCATATATTTTAATGTCTACCCGCCCAAATCAAATACAATACTATCCGATACGCCTCAGCTAGCTACAGGGTAGCTCACAGTCACGCACACTCGACTGTAGCACGCTTGTTAAATCCGCAGCTTTTGACTGCAATTGGCCAACTTGAAACATTCAACGAGAAAGTTGTCGGCCATGATTCAGCTCTGTTGGCCATTAAAACTTTTGCCTGGACAGGCGAAAGCCTGCGATTAACACACATACGCAATGTTGCCCGCACAAAAGGCAAATGGGGCAACTGGCAATGGGCAACGGGTAAGGGGCAACTGGCAACTGGCGTCGCACATTTCCATGACTGTCAGGAAAATAATGTCAATACGCAGCAGCATTTTGGTCAATTTAATGACTTCCTTTTATAAGGCTTGGTTTGTATTTGATTTGAGCAGGAAATTAAAGTTGCGACTGAATGACTTGATGATACCCTTTAAGACCAGACTAAAATCTATTAGAAATCATATTGAAATACGAAGTTGGTAATAAATACGTTGGCCTTAAAACTGACCAGCAGAAATTGAACCGAATCTCAAAATCGTATCTTAAATAACGCAGAATTCAATTATTTTGCGAACTATATGAATAAAAGGTCCAAATTAAGAGTATAGTCTTGATAGAGAGTACAGTCTTCTAGTCTCAGAGATCGATGTGACGCAACCTTTTATAACCACTCAACCTATCCACTCAACCCTAAGGCACACATTTTGTGCGAACAGGGTATAAATAAAATGCCCATTACCATTTTTATTGCTATGGAAATGCGTTTGTGGCATGTTGCTGTATGCCAGGTCATTTTATAGGTAATGCAAAGGACATCATCATCGTTTGGGGCATATTACGAGCTGGCCATATCGAAATCGAAAAATTGTCAAGCCAATCAAGTAATGCAACCGCAGGCGGCATTTAATGCCAGCGAGATAGGGTGTGGGGGAGAGGGGGGGGGGAAGGGGGGGGGGGGTGAAAGGGGAATATCAATTATGAATATGATTGGAGACATGTGCAATATGCCTTTTACACTTTTCAGTGTGGGTTTAGCCAATAAATCAAGCTCGAGGCCAATAATCAATTATTTAGCAGCTGATACTCGAGGCGATTGTGAGTGTGTGTGTGTGTGTGTGTGTGTGTGTGTGAGTATCTGTGTGTTGTACATGAGCCAAAAAGAATTTTGCCGTTTATTATTATTTTTGTGGGTTGCCCGTTGCTGCTGCTGCTGCTCACCTGTTGAGGCAAATGTTGCTGACTTTGTCAACATGTTGTAGTTGATGTTGTTGTTGTTGTTGCTATTTTTGTTGCTGTTGCTTGTACGGACAGGTGAGGGGTAAGTGTTGTATACAATGCCCTTTGTAATCAGTTTGTCGCTTAGCTTCTGGCTGTTTATATGCCCTTTTGTTGTTTTCTATGCTTTAACTTATTTTTGGTGTCTGCTCTCTTGTTGTTGTTG